TAAATATTCATGGAGTAAAAACATGCATCTGCTTCCCTTTGATAAACAGAAATGCTCTTGAGTACATGTTGGCCCATAATACAAAAAGTATCCCTCTTTAATTTGTCTATAAGGACCACAAAAATGACTAGCTACTATGAAATTTTAGGAGGGTCTTGAAAAAGCCTTTTATAATTCTTATTTGTTTATTTTTACTTTGGAAACTGCAGGAACTTTTCTCTCTATGAATTAAAACCAGAGTCTTCCCTTCTTGAAATGCTGACCATCAATCAGTTGGCTCAAACACATTTGCCTGACCATCCCCACTTTGAATGGGCTGAACTTCAGGCACTATTTAAGGGAAAGAAAGGGTAGGAGGGAAAGGGAATCTTAAAAGGATAATTCTGTTTTTCTACATCAAAACTAGGTTCTGATGTTCTTTAGGTTGAGTAATGACCCTGCTTGGGATCCTCAAACCTACAAATCTTCCCTGTGTTGTCTTTGATTGAGGCTGCTAAAGCCTCCCACAAGCTCTAGAAGGTTCATCTAACATCTGCAACACCATCACTAATGAAAGCCTGGTCCAACCATCTGGTATTTGAAAGCTATCATATGTCTAGACAGAATGTGTATGCCCCAAAGCCATCAAACTGTGTTTAAGAAGATACTTGTTTGAAGTTGAAAAACCATATTCTCCTGAGTGTTTTGTTTATGGAAATAAAGAACAATTCTAGTCTGAAAAGAGTAGAAGAACTTCTGTTTCCCAGCCACCAAATCAGAACCCACAGACCTCTAATGTATGACTCAATTTCTCCACTCATAAAATCAGGACTAATGTTATCATCGGGCTCCTGCGGGTGCTGTGAATGCTAACGAAAGAATAACATTTGTGAACAATTTTGTTCCTTCCTTGAGGAAAATATTATTTGCTTTCTGTTCCCTAGAAGTACTATCTGTCCATGTCAGTCAAATGCCACTCAAAGGCATATCTCCTCTCAGTTTGGAGGACCGTGATGGTTTGTCCAAGGAGGAGGCTCAACTAAACAAAGATGTTAATGAAACCAAAACCCAAACCTACTACCACTGAATCAATTTCAACTCATAGTGACTCTATTGGACAGAGGAAAACTGCTCCTTAGGGGTTTCAAGACTAAATCTTCACAGAAAGCAGTCCATCTCATCTGTCTCCAGCACAGTAGCTGCTGGGTTTGAACCACCAAGCTTGTGGTTAGAAGCCCAATGCTTAACCCGCTACATCACTAGGGTTCCTCAGCTAGAGGATCTGAAAAAGAGAAGACCCTCAACAAGATGGATCATAACAATGGGTCCAAACATAGCTACTATTATGAGGATGGCACAGAACCAGGCATCTTTTTGTTCTATTGTACAAAGATTCACTAGGAACCTAAGGTGACTGTTGTTATTAAGTGCCATCGAGTCGATTCTAACCCATAGTGTCCCTGTATGGGGTTTCTGAGGAGCAGCTGGTAAGCTTGAACCACCAACCTTGTAGTTCCAACAGCTTTGCAGTCTGGCACATTAATCCACAGTGCCACACCAGGGCTCTTTTTGTTAGATGCTGACTAGATGGCACCTAACAAAAAGATTGAGGTGAAGACATTGGGGGCTCAGCAGTACAATTTTCATGTTCCTTGTGGGAGACATGGGTTCAGTTCCACGCCAATGCATCTCATGTGCAACCACCACTTACCTGTCTGTCAGTGGAGGTTTGTATGCTGTTACGATGCTACATAGTTTTCAGCAGCACTTCCTAAGTAAGGTGGACTAAGAACAGCCTGAGTACATAGGTATATATAGGGAGGCCAACAACACTAGCGAGGAATGCGCACTATGAGTGATGGAATGCTCTATCTCTCAAAATCAGAAAGGCAACATTTATCTAAGGACAAAGTTGAGAAGGGTTGGGAAAGAGGGTAGACTGGAAATAGGAACCACAGGGAGAAAGCAGGATAACTGTTGTTCTATGCAGGGAATTACAATCATTGGGAAGAAACAAAGTGTATGATTAGTTGAATGTAAAGGTGATGATCTTTTCTATAAACCTTCATTCCATTCACAATAAAAAAAAAGATAAATTAAAATGATTATGCAAAAATAAAGAAAACGTAGAAAAAAAAAGTGAAATGCTACTGTCTAGTCTCCTTCGAAATTAGGGTTGTCTATGCACCTTATTGTGTGCAGGGAGATTAATAGACTGTAGGCTAAGGGACTTCTGGAAAAGTTTTATCGTCTTATCTGTTGGTCCTATTCTTTTCTCCTCCTTCCTGCCTTTAATGCAGATGTGACACTTGGCACTGTGGCAATCATCTTGTGAAGCCAAGGATGAAAGTTAACCCACTAAGAATGATGACAAAGAAAGAAAGAAAGAAAGTGTCTTTCTCTTTGATAATGCTGTTGATCTGTGGAGCAAGACCTGGGCTGCCAATCTCCAGACTTCCTGCCAAATAAACAATAAATGAATACTTCTGGGATTTAAGGTACTGTTGGGTCAGACTTTCTATTACTTGCAGTATAAAAGATGTACTATGGAAAAGGCTTATCACAATGCCTGGTACAAAGAAAGGGAACAATAAATATTAGGTTATCATGTTGACCTCTAATTAGATGTGGGTCCAAATGCCCTCACCTCCCTTAAGCTGCTATTGGTTTCAAATGGCACTTTTTTAGGCACTGTCAGGAGGAGACTGTTATTCCTTATGACATCAGCTGCAGGCCTCAGGGGAGGAGCACTCCCCACATCCTTCAGTGCAGTGGTAGCTGGACTTGCCAATGTCCCGAGGTCTCAAGGCTGATGCTTAGGAAAGACGAGCTGCCTCCCACACCCGCAGAATGCATAAAGGAAAAGAAAAACAAGCAAAAACACCTGCTAAAGGTGATTTTTCTTTTCCTAACTTGTTAAATGTAAGTTCAGAAACTTCTGGGACAGTTTTGAGAATGAATTCCAGTATCAAGCCTAGTGCTTCAGGAGGTGAAGGAAGCAAAGGAAATAACACTAGACCATGTTATTTTTAGATAAGTTGGCTTGGCCTGCTTTTATTAGTGCTACGAGCTATAAGCAAGAACATACTCACTAGAATGGAATCTTATTATTATTTTAAAATATTAAACATCACTTTGTGTGTGTGTCTTTTTTTAAAAAAAAAATTTTTGTGATTTTTAGACTTCTTTGTTTAGGTCCCATTCAGCAAACGACATTGCGTGCTTGCAATGAACAAGACACTCAAGTATCTAAACAATATGGGAGAAGGCTACCAGAATATGTACAGATATGCTTTATATTTTATATACCCCTTCCACTGACTGCTGCAATTTCTTTTTTTTTTTTTTTCTCCTTTCATCTACATGTTGGTGTTGAGGTATTCATGGTTCCAAGAGAGAATTCTTGCCCTGCATGAGGGAGATGGGGTCCTGGTGTGGCGTTGTGGGCTAATGCACTGGACTGCAAAGTTTGTTTGAACCACAAAATCAGTGATTCAAGCTCATTGGCTGCCCCTTGGAAACCCTAGACAGGGTCACTATGAGTTGGAACTGACTCGATGGCACTTAACAACAACAACAACAACAACAAGGGAGACAGGGCAGATACAACTCAGTACAACCATCACTCTCTGTTGGTGGAGGTCTGCATGTTGCTATTACAGAAAAGGTTTCAGTTAAGAGTCCACACTAGACAGTCTAGGAAGACAATCAGCTTATGAAAACTACATGGCTCACAATGGTCTGATTGGCAACCTGTCATGGGAACAGTGTAGCACTGGGCAGCATTTTGTTCCATTGTGCTCAGGGTCACTGGGAATCGGGACCTACTTCATGGAAGGTAACAACGTGCTGTAGGTAAAGCATGGGACTGCTAACCACAAAATTAGTGGTTCAAACCCACTAGTTGTTCCTTGGAAACACTGTACAGGGTTGCTATGAGTGAGAACCAACTTGACAGCACTTAACAACAACAACAACTTGATGCTTTATGTCTTCTGTATCTGACCCTTCTGAATAAAAACCTCTGCCCTTGAAACAATTATATTGCCTTCTCTGTTACCTTTACGCCATTCAGAATGTCTATTTTGTCAGATGTGATGAAGGACAGGAATAAACAAGTAGGGGAAAGGGCTCAGTAAGCTACTAAATAACACACTAATGTGAGGTATTAATTAATGACCATTTCTGCCCTTCAGCTCTCTTTCTGTCTCTTAAATGTGTCCAAATTATAGGTTTTAAAGAGTATAGTCACAGGTTATAGTTTTAAAGTGCATAGTGTCACAGGTTATAGTTCTGAGAATTGGAAGACCACTGCCTTCCATAGAAATCTAAATGATAACAAGGGAAGATGCAATATTCTAGGCTGGACATGCTGAGGCAGAATTTCCAGCTCTAAGTCTTTCACTGGTCCTATGGGTCTGAAGCCACAGTTTCTTAGACAAGCTGCTTTTCCTCTTTGAGAGCGAAATTTCCTGATTACTAAATCTCTTTCCCATAAGGAGCTTCAATAATGTATCTGGCTTCTCTCAGGGGAGGGGCCATTTCAGAACCCCATCTGGGTGGAGGATAGAAACCACACTGCAGAGCAAGACCAAACTCGTCACCAGAGACTTCAGGAAAGGGCTCTTCATTTGATATCTTCATAGACTGTTTTCCAAGTCCTGATATGTTGTCAAAGGTCAGCAGACCATGTGAGGGGCATCAGAAACCATGTACATATGCTTTCCTTGAGTAAGAAAAAGGGGTCAGGGGCCAAGAAGCCAATCATCAGGAGATTGCAGTTTTATGTGTTTGTTTCTAGCCCACACAAAAGTGCTGCTGTTGTTAAGTGGTGCCAAGTTCCAACTCATAGCGACCCAGTAGAGGGTTCCTAAGGAGTGGCTGGTGGGTTTGAATTGCCAATCTTGGTTAGTAATCCAACGTTGATCCTATAGTGCCACACCAGGACTCAACACAAAGGTCTGATAGCATAAAGCTAAGATGGGTCAGGGGCAGTGGTGAATCAGTTGTAGAATTCTCACCTTCCATGAAGAGACCTGGGTTAGAATCCCAGTCAAAGCCCCTCATGTCAGTGCAAGATTCTGAGGCTCCCAGACATGAGCATCCTCCTTGATGCATCCCCAGTGGAATCTCAGCTACCATCTCTGTATTCTTTTGTTTTTCAAGAAATGCACTTTCCCCTGTTACCTCCCCTTCTAAGGAAGTGTGGTGGAAAAGAAAAATACATTCTCCTCCTCAGAGGGGAGCCATGCTTTATGTAAAGATGCTGTGGACAATACATTTTAACAAATACTTCAAACGACAAGGAAACTAGCTAGTTAAAGAACTTTTGTGGTGAATCCTCATTTAAGGATTAAATTACCTCTCCATTTGTTATGTGTGTAAAGAAGCCTTCAGATTTTTAATGTGCCTAGAAATCTAAACTCTCTCATGCTTTTGTTACATAACACATTCACTGTTTCATAAAGAGGCCGCTTGCTCACAGTTTGCCTCTCTGTTTAAAATAAAATAAATCTCCATATGGGTACACATAGTCACATAAAACATCATTGTTAGAGATTCAATTGTGTCCCCCTGAAACATGTGTAGTAAATCCTAGGCTGCATGCCTGTGACGATAATCCCATTTAGAAATGGGTTGTCTTTGTTACATTTACAAGGCAGGATTAGTGCAGAATATGTTTTGAGTCAGTCAATCTCATATAAAATATAAACTGAGCTGATTAAACAAGCAGAGATGGAATATGATAGACGCCAAGCCCTAGGAAGATTTCCAAGGATCCAGAAAACAGAAGCTGAAGAGACAATGACCTTTTCCTAGAGCTGACACAGAGAGAAAACCTCCTTATAGAGCTGGTTGCCTGAACTAAGATTTACAGCCTCCTGAATTGTGAGCAAATAAATGTCTTCTTGTTAATGCCAACGATTTGTGGTATTTCTGTTGTAGCAGCGCTGGATAGCTGAGACAGTCACCTCCAGTGTTTCCCTTGTTGACCTACCTCTAACTGTTGCTATGTTCAGTATTACTTAAATGCCTGCAGCTTGACCACCTCTACTAAAGACAGTGTCAGCAATGCCAGCTGCGGAAGTGTCACTGGCTCTGCATTGGAATACTGCATATTCTGATGGAAATCTTTGGGCTCCATTAAAATGCTATTCCATAGCTACTGTTGACAGATGCTATTAAACACATCAATCTAGAAGCACAGAATCTGGTGATATCAGCTCACTTGGACGAACTGTGGAAGCTGTATAAAAATTGGCTCTGTTGATAGTTCTACTTGAAGAATAATATGGCTTTGGTATATTTTTTCTAAACTTTTATAAACCATTTCTACAATATATTCCTAGGTAGCCTCTGGAAATGTTGAGATTGTACAGTGACACCCCAAATTCACATGTTTAATATGAGTTAGAAGCAACTGTACAGCTGGGCTCTCTCCTATATTCTAGTCCTCTATCACCAAATGTCTTTGAGGGTTTTTCACTTGTTACAGATTGAAATGCGTTCTTTTAAAAGACATGTTGAATTCCTGACCCTTGTCCTTGTGAGCGTGACCCTAGCAGAGAGAGCATGGCCCCATTGATGCTCTGAATTTGGATGTCTAGCCTCCAAAACTTTGAGACAATATATTTTGGTTCTTAAAAGCCACCTACTTTGTGGTATTTTGTTATGATCATCCTGGTTGGTGGTGGCTATGTGTTGTGGAGTCAGTTCCGATTCATAGCCCCACTGCATAGGGTTTCTGAGACTGTACATTTTTAAGGGAGCAGAAAATCTCATCTTTCTTCTGAGGAACGGCTGGTCGTTTTGAATTGCTGACCTTGAGGTTAGTAGCCTGACTTCAAACTAAAAGCACTTAAAGTCTGTAAGTCTAAAATCAGTTTTATTTTCCCCACTCTAGTCAGCTCCCCTAGGCTTCTCTGATTTCTGTCATCATTCTGCCCCTTACCCAAGTTCAAATCGAAAGTCTAAAAATTTTGAGAGTCCAAGTAGGGATGTGAACCCAGATGTATCTGACAGTTCCAAAAATTCTTCTGTAAGGTCTTTGTGTAGGAAAGAGGATCCCTGTCCTAAAGACATGGAGGCTACTCAGAGAAGCCATTTCTTTGCACTGTGGTGAAATACTAACCCACACATGAATGGACACACACACTTCTAAGTAAGAACGTTCTATACTCAGCTGAATTATAAATCCCTCAGAAACTACCTACAATGAAATGGATGGGTCATTCTTTAGGCCACAGTGCAGATACCCTATGTTTTTTTTTTAGTGGCAGTGACTATCTGCCAGCCAGGCTATTGACAATTTCTCTAGCTCCAAAGCTGCTTTTAGTATGGCTGGTTCACATCGTACCCTAAAAGCACTTATCAGTTATTACTCAGGTCTCTGCAGGTTGAAGCCTAAGCACTTCTGCTTGATAGGAGGCCCAAGGGGCTATAGTTGCATTCTTAAGCTTCACTCAGAAAGTCTACCTTTTACTAAGTCCTTATCAAATAATGATGTATAGAAAAGCCAAAATTATTCTTTTCAAGATCAGAAGTAGCATTTCTGTTTGCTGTGTAATTGAAACAAGAATATTTTATCTTTGACTCCTTTCTCTGAAATGTACCCTTTCATTCACTATTTAACGAAAGATAGCACAATAAAAGATATAAGCAAACTTTATGAAAGAGGTTGGGAAAATTAATTCTCCTTTCTATATATGATCAAGCATACAACCTGGAGAAGAATATGCCTGGAAATAATTTTAATTTCAGCTTCATGGTAATAAAGCAACAATGAGTCTATGTAAACACTACCAAGCAAAGAGAGAAAAGCTAAATTCTCTAAGAGAAATGCAATGAAATAAATGTACAGGCATTTTATCAAGACCGAATCCCCAGCCTTATGCTCAAATGAGCTTCAGTTTCACTGTTCTAGGTGCATACAGACCATTTTTTCTTGGATGGTGTTTTGTCACCAAACTCAATGGATCCCAAATAAATTGAGCAACTGACCTCCTTCTCCAAAATAATTCTCTTAAATATCCCCTTGATTCTGTCAATGGTAATGGTTAGAGTTAATGTCACAGAAGAAAGTTTGACTTGTCTCTGTTTTCTATATCCTGTCAAACTTGAATCCTCCTTTGTTCATCAAAGAAAAAAAATATTTAGATCCCACTATGTATTGGATCCCATGCTGAATATTAAGAATAATATAATGAACAAAGGCACTGCCCTCCCATAGATTAGTATTCAGTGGTGGGAGTCAGTTATTCATTGTGAGATTAGAATGCAATGTAATTAACAATGGTACCAAATATTTACTGTTCAAGTACATGACAACTAAGGTAGATGAAAGTCAGGGTGTGGTTAGAGTAGACTTTCTGAAGAAAGTGACTGCTAAGATTAAATGTGAGGCTCTGAGCAGGAGTTAGTTTATGAAGGACGTTTGGAAAGAGGGATGGGTACAGCATTTCCAACTGAGGGAGTATAGTATATAAAAATCTCAGAAATGACAGCATGAAGTTTTATGCAAAATGTGGAGTGATAGGTGATAAGGCTAAATAAATCATCAGGGACCAGATCATGTAAAGCTTTGTAAGACACACAAGCTTTGAGTTTTATCCTAATGAAACTGAACAAACAGGTGATGCAATCAACTTTAAGCTTTTGGGAGAGCCTTCTAGTGAGGGTAGAGCGCTGATTGGGAGATGGAAAGTCTGGATACATGGAAAGCAACTAGAGGCTGGTACAGAGAAGAGAAGACAGTGCCTTGGATGAAGACAGTAGCCATGGAGATGGAGAAAAGTGCATACACTCAGAAACCTCCTTGGACTTGTCTCCTTCTTTAATGTATGCCCAGTACCCATCAAAGGACACATACTGGGTATACAGGAAGTGCTTGAGGGCCATGTAGCATGCACACAGCTCTGGAGCTAGACTGTCCTGTACAAACCCTGATTCATTAACTGTGACCATAAGGAAGTTATTTAATCTTTTGGTGCCTCGATTTTCTCAAACAAACCTTAGTAAGTACACAGTAAACCAAAACCAAATGAGTTGTTCTTGAGTTGTTTCTAACTCATGGCAACCCCATGTGTTTCAAAGTAGAATCACCTTCCAAGTGGCTTTCTAAAGTAGATCACTAGGCCTTTCTTTTGAAAATAGGACATAAGGACATACTTAAATTCTACTATTTAGAATACTGTCAAGTGTATAGTAAACATTATTAGCTATTATTACTAAATGTGTGCTGAGTAGAATTGCCCTTTTCTTTACTCACAACCTCATCAGGACTTGCCCAGCCTATGATGGTGAACTTAAATAGCCTTCCCATCTTATTCTTTGCCTGCAGCAATCTACCCTGCATATGACTACTAAATGACACTTCATGACCACTTTCACCACATCATTTCTCTTTTCTAGATTTTATAAGTTTCTCATATAAGTTCAAGATTTAATTGGACAATCAAAACTCTTCCTTGGCCTGGTCTTATGCATTCTTGGAGTCCTGGTGTAGTGTTGCAGGTTAATGCACTGGAATTCAAGGTTGGATTGAACTACAAGGTCAGAAATTGCTCCTTGGAAACTTCTATACAGTGTCCCTGTGAGTCGGAACCAACACAACAGCATTTAACAATAACAACAAGCTGTTACTTGTGGTCTTGGTGTGGCATTGTAGGATAAGCACTGGATGGCTATCACAAAGTTGGTGGTTGGTTCAAACCCACCAGTCACTCCTTAGAAAGTTTATACAGAGTTGCTATGAGTTGGAATTGACTTGGTGGCACTTAACAACATGAGGCTAAATGGATTTGATGGCACTTAGCAGCAACAATAACAAAAAGCTGTTACCCATCATAGTCACATCTCAAGGAATGTTCTAAAAAAAAACCCTTATAATGTGCAAGGCATTTCATGTAATATCTGTGTATTAGCTTATGATTTTTTTTTGAGCTAGATTGTGAGTACTTCACAATCTAGGGGTTTTCAGGAAGAAATTACCTTGAAGGGTAGATGAAGACTTTTTTTTTTTCAAATGGAATATTGTGCTTAATGTTGGACATTGACTTACTCTTTCC